CTATAACTCAACTGTGTATCTGTATACCCACAATGCTAGTGGACTCCCGTGTTTAGAAAGCTGGCATAATGAACCACTTGCTAAATGGAACCTAATGTCTCAACTGCAGATATCAGTTACGTGCAGTAACTTCAACACACCATAACTTAGCTTCCTGAGTCAAATTGACTTATTTGTAAAATGGGTATAATTATTTTCACCTTCACAGCTATTACCAGGGTTGAGTGAACTTCTTCATCAATCACATGTTTAAAGATGTAGGCATTCTCCAGGCTTTATCACTAGAACTTCAAACTAAACAATGAAAAAAACCTAGAGTAAACAAAAAGCTGTTCAGTTCAATCTCTTCGTAGCTTCTCTTTTTTTTCCAACTCAAGTCCATAGATTTTCCTTGACTGAAGCTGTCATCTTGCTGTTTGATTTCTATTTCCTAATTCTCAGCATCATTTTAGAATTCCTAGAAGCTTCAAATTAGAAAAATGAATCCACTTGCATTGACAGTGAGATCAACTTTTTGAACTGATATTTTCTGGTATAGAGTCTCAGAGCATGGATTAGGGAGTAGAAAAATAGCATTGCCATTTAATCAAAAATTTAAAATATTTATAAAGTCATTAGAGATGACTTATTGGGAATATTTTCTAATAAAAATGGGAGAAATAGCAAAATATACTATTTTTGCTTATTGGGTCACACCCAGCGGTGTGCAGGGGTTACTCCTGGCTCGTGCACTCAGCAATTTCTCCTGGCAGTGCTCAGGGGACCATATGGGATGCTGGGAATCGAATCCAGGTTGGCCGCGTGCAAGGCAAACACACTACCCGCTGTGCTATCACTCCAGCCCCACTAGTGGATTTTTGATGTGCTACTATCAGAGAGATACGAATGCAAGTTTATCTGCTTCTAAAATATGCAATTTTTTGTTGCCAAAGATGAATCCCTTTAATATGATCTAGAGTCATCCATGGACAAGTTATTTTTAAAATAGAAAAATTCATCTCTATTCTTATCAAAGATGTATTGTATATGCATATATGTATATGAATATATGTATACATACATATACAGATATAAAAATAAGGAACCACTTGTATGGCTTCATGTTCTTTTGTTTATTCTTTCACTCAGCAAATACTGCTTACATCTTTCCTGCCAAGACTCAGCAATGAGCAGGAAAGGAAAGATGTCTGGTCATGGAACTGATATCTTGAAGGAAAGAATAAGCAAATGAGCTATATTTTTACTCCTCAAAACCATCATTCGAGTCAGATATTGTTATTATCCAATTATTATCTAATTTACCATTATGAACCATTATACTGTTTCAAGTATTATAGAACTTGCTTAATAACACTTAGAATAAGATTTGAATCCCAGGATCACCAGATAAGGTTCTAAACTTTTACCTCTCAGGAAATTTTTCATTACAACATATACAAAAGGTCACAATGAAGTCAAATAAATACTTATGTAATACATATTTAAATTCAGTAACTAAATATTTGCTCCAAGGACAAAACCCTTGACTTCTATCGTGAACTTGCTATGGGAAATGATTCATGACAATTTTGTCACATTTAAATTAAGCAGAACCTCATGACTACCTTTTTAAGTATATTTTATCATATAATAATATCAATATTCTTCAAAGCTTACATGAGAAAAATGTTTTTGCTGATATTGAAATAGCTGTAGATAGTCTGTTTGCTAACTTGTTTGCTTACAAATACTGTTGAAATAGCTGCAGATAGTTTATTTGCTAGCTTGTTTGATTACTTTTCATCTCATTCTAGAAATGATTCAAGATGACTTAGAAGGATACAGAAAACTTGGGGTGGAATTCATGAAAGCGTAAGGACATTGGAGAAGGGAAGTTGACACTAGTGGTGGAGATTGGTGTTGGAACATTGTACACCTGAAAAAACTATAAATAAATTTGTAAATAATGGTGCCTAACAATATATATTTTTAAAATGCACTCAATGCCTCTTTTGCAAACCACAACACCCAAAAGGAGAGAGAGAACAAAGGGGAATGCCCTGCCACAGAGGCAGGGTGGGTTGGGGGGATGGGGTGGGAGGGATACTGGGATCCGTGGTGGTGGGAAATGGGCACTGGTTGGAGGGATGGGTATTTGATCATTGTATAATTGAAACCCAAGCACAAAATCTGTAAGTCTACAACTGTACCTCATGGTGTCTCACTAATAAAAATTTAAAAAACACACACACAAGATAGAAAGAATAAGGGAAAGAGTTTTTTTTTTTAAAAAAAAGGAGAGAATGTGTATGTAAATAGGGTTAGTATAGTTGCCATGCCATAGGAATCTAGAATGAGTCAAAAATTGACCCTGCACTGTTAACACCCAACATTTTAATGATCTACTGGAAAGTCACTGTGTACCAAAAGACCAACTGATCAGAAGAGTCAGCCACTCTTTTTGTGTGTGTGTGTGTGTGTGTGTTCCTAGTTTTTTATTTTTTTTATTTTTTTATTTTTTTTAGTAAAACACCATGAGGTACAGTTGTAGATTTACTATTTTTTGTGCTTGGGTTTCGATTATACAATGATCAGATACCCATCCCTCCACCAGTGCCCATTTTCCACCACCATGGATAATATTCCCCCACCCCCAACCCCCCATCTCCCCCTGCCTCTGTGGCAGGGCAATCCCCTGTGTTCTCTCTCTCGTTTTGGGTGTTGTGGTCTGCAAAAGAGGCATTGAGTGGCAAACATGTTCAGTCCATAGTCTACTTTCGACATGCATCTCCCCTCCTGGGAGGATCCTCCTAACACCCTTTATTTGGTGCTCCCTTCTCTATCTGAGCTGCCCTTTCCTCTAGAATGCCCGGCTGGCCACTAAGCTATGGAGTAATCCTCCTGGTGCTGATCTCAGCTATTCTTGGGTATTAATCTCATACTTTGTTACTTTATATCCCCCAGATGAATGCAATCTTTCTATGTCTATCCCTCTCTTTCTGACTCATTTCGCTTAGCATGATACTTTCCATGTTGTACCACTTGTATGTAAATTTCATGACTTCATCTTTTCTAATAGCTACATAGTACTCCACTGTGTAGATGTACCAAAGAGTCAGCCACTCTTAGCCACTCAAGAATATTCTTCTCAACAGTCACATCTTTCCAGCCGCAATTGACATCCTTATTGTTATATTGGAGCCACATCCAACAGCACTTCGGGCTTGCTCCTGACTCTGTGCTCAGGAATCACTCCAGGTGGTGTTCCCGGGACCAGATATGATGCTGGGGATAAAACCAAGGTTGGCGAAGAGCAAGACAAGTGCCTTAACCCCAATTTGACCCATGCACCATGTTTAGAATGTGGATGTTTCTTCAAGTAACTAATAGAATCTTGATGAAAAGTATTCCAGTCATTCCCTAGGAGAAGATAAGCCAGTACAGGTGATTGTTGTCATGTGTAGCTACATATGAGACATGTGCCAACTTCCCTACTTAAAGAACCTATCGTTCAGAATGAGAAAAAAGTATATTTTAGTTAGCATGTAAAACTTGCTATCTCCTTTTAAAGTCAGTATTTTAATCCCAGGAAATCAGTGTGCTACATATTTATATTAATTGCAGTAAATTTGTAAAAATTGTCCTAGTTAGAGGATGGTGAGGTGTGCTTGCATCTTGCTCTACTCCCTCTGAGTCTTAAGGGGCAGTAAGAGAAACAGCCCTCTTATTGTCAGAAACTTGGTGATGTTTGTTCATTTAACCCTGGAAGCCCAGGGAAGAGCTCAGTGGTGAAAGTTTTTTCTGCCCTGCAAGCCTAAGGATCAAGAGTTTGATCCCAGGGCATCCCACGGGGACTTACTGAAGACTCCATGTCTCTGTTCTCTAGAACTCCAGGCACCACAACAGTACACAGTCTTTGGAGCACTTGGCCAGGAATGGGAGGAATGAGTATGATCTCTGGCAAGCACTGTAGTTGAGTGTACAAACAAAACCAATTCTGTGTGTGTGTGTGGTCCCAGTCATCAATCAGATGAAAGGGGGCAAATATTCAACCCCTTGATACCATAGTGCTATTGTTTGACATCGAAAAAGAATTTTCTTACCCTTATACTTGAAAGGGCTGGAGCGATAGCACAGCGGTAGGGCGTTTGCCTTGCACGCAAACAACATGGCCAACCCAAGTTCGATTCCTCCGCCCCTCTGGAAGAGAGTATCTCGCCCACACGGCAGAGCCTGGCAAGCTCCCCGTGACCTATTCGATATGCCAAACACAGTAACAACAAAGTCTCCAATGGAGACGTTACTGGGCCCGCTTGAGCAAATCGATGATCAACGGGAGGACAGTGACATACTTGAAAAAAAAGTAATTTTTATCTCTTGCCCCCCTTTTACTCTTACTTACCTTTAAAATGTGCATTATAAATACTCCTTAAAATAATATTTTAAAGGTAATTTTTATATAAAATTCCTCTCCCATAAAAGATACTAAAAATATTACAGCGAGTATTATCTTCAGCTAAACAAATTCCTGGGCATACAGTAGATAAGTCATGGTTCTGTTAATTAAAAAATGCCATCTGGAAGTCTTTAACAATCAGCAAATTTCTCAAATGTTTGAAATCATCATAAGATGTTAGTTCAGATCTTGTACTCAGAAACAAGATTGACGGGATTTGATACTATGATGATACGAGGATAAATTTCCTGTGCAGTCCCAAAGTATTCTAATTCTTAATATTGCCACATGTAAATGGCTAAAGATAGAATCATTCCAACATGGGTATTGTGGAAATTATTTGATGAATGTTTTAAATACTTAGGATCATCCGTAGTACATAATAAAATTTTAATAAATTAACCATTATTTTCTCTTATAAAAATGTGACTTCCTTTTATTTTACAACATGTTTTTCTGGTCCTGTGATTTGGAATTTTAGAATGTTGAAAAAAGCAACCAAAATCATTGTATACACAATTGAATTCACATCTCGTTTACTATATTTTTTCTGTTGTTTCTATAGGATTTTATCGTCACTGTAGTGTTTTCATTCTTGTGGTTGGTGGGTTCATCAGCCTGGGCGAAAGGACTGTCAGATGTCAAGGTCTCAACAGATCCCAAAGAAGTATTGTTACTGATGTCAGCTTGCAAACTGCCCTCCAACAAGTGCATGGCTGTCCACAGCCCTGTCATGTCCAGCTTAAACACTTCCGTGGTATGTTTTCCTCTATACTTTTCCTCTCAAATAATTGACAGTTGCATGAATAAGGAAAAAAATCCCAGAAATTATCTTGTAAATTTCTGCCTCCAAAACTAGACCAATGTGAGAGGTGATTTTTCACTCCATGTGCAATATGATTCTTTGGCCTTCAAGTTTTTGCTGTCAGAACACATCTTTAATGCATCCAATTACAAAATTCTTAACAAGAACCCAGCAGGTACTGGCAGCTGTTGTTTGGATGACAGTTCAGTCAAAATTCTAAGCCAGAGCACATAAAAAAATCTGAAATTTAAGGCTGAAGTCTACCAATACTTAAAAGAAATATTTGTTGGTGTAAAAATTTCCTGGAACAAAAACATTGTTGAAGCTACATAGAGTCGATATAGTTAGTCACCTAGAGAAAAATATGCAGAGCTAGTAAAATGCATAAAAAATCCTCCATATATAAAATTACTTATAGTAATTATGGTAATTTTTATCTTCTCCATGCTCTGGTTTAGCTGTCTTATAACTTTAGAAAAGTTGAACAGAATTAATTGAACAAATTCAAATATTGCTATCATCTCTATAGCTCCCAAAGAAGATAGTAAATATGACAGGTAACAAATCATTAAATTCTTATTTTATAAAAGAATTTGTATTATTCCAAAGAAAAAAACTGTGTCTGAGAGAGACAGAAGCTTTAATGGCAGCAAAATCCCTTAGTTATGAAAGAATGAAAGGCCCAGCTGTGTTTGCTGAAGGAAAAACATTATTTAGCAACTCCTAAAATAATTATCTTTGCTTCAAGATTAACTTATGTTTCTACAGCTTTCTGAAATTTAATCTGAGAAGGCATTTTAAAGTGGGGAAATGGTGGCTAATCATCTCCTGGTGATTTGACTGTATATCTTGCCTTGGGAAGAAAACAAACATGGAAAGAAACTATTATTAGGTCCTTAGTCACTTTCATTTATGTCTGAGCTCATCCATAAATGAAAATTTTGGGCTATACATTCAAAATGTATTTTACTCTTCTGGTTTGTTTATTGTCAAGTCTCAATAAAAGTGATAATACAAAACTCAAAATTTAAGAGAGCAAAGATAAAATCATGTGTTTCTTAGTTTAATAGTCTGTAATAAGTAAAGACATAGCCTGTTTAATTATATCTCTTAAGTCTCTAATAAATTTTAGACTTGATGATGAGATTTTGAGTGTGAAACAATCTGACTTGTCTTAAAATCAAAAACAAGGGATGAAAACCAGATATTGTGGGCCAGGAATATGACTCAGTGGCAGAACACATGCCTTACATGTGTAAGACACTAAATTCAAGCCACAGAATTGCATACACACAACAGCAGCATGATATGTGTGTATGAAGGACAGTTCAGGTGCTATTGTCATTATAGAGCCATATCAGTTCGTGATCCTTCATTTTTTAAGTGGCATAAAACTCAAACTGCCTAAGGAAAATATTCCTCATATGTTGCTATATACTTACAAAGGTACAATCTAAACAGGATATCCCTCTAATAGAAAATATCCTAGTTGTTTCATAGATGGGTATTTGTCCTTTATTGGCTGAGGACGTGTCTCAGTGATAGACCATGTGCCTTGCATGTGAAGACTTGGATTTGATCCATAGCACTATGAAAAAGAAGAAATAGAAATAGGAATAAGAGGGAAGAAAAAAGAGGGAGAAGGAAGGAGAATGTAAGAAGAAAGGAAAAGAGGGAGAAGAAGAGAAGATGAGGAGTAGGAGGAAGAAGACAAGGAGGAGGAGGAGGAGGAGGAGGAGGAGGAGGAGGAGGAGAGGAGAGGGAGGAGAAGGAGGAGAGGGAGGAGGAGGAGGAGGAGGAGAAAGAGGAGGAGGAGGAAGAGGAGGAGGAGGAGGAGGAGGAGGAGGAGAAGAAGAAGAAGAAGAAGAAGAAGAAGAAGAAGAAGAAGAAGAAGAAGAAGAAGAAGAAAAAGAAATGAAAGTTCCAGTGCTTAAGTAACAGTTTTGAAAGTTACCACCTTTTTAATTTTTATCATGAAGTTATAAATATCTTTTTTTGAATTTGTATCTTTCTCAGCAAAGAGTATATAACAAAATAATGCTAAATAAATTTCAGTTCATGCTATAGGAAGGAAAAAGGATGAAAAAAGAAGGGCAAAAAAAGAAAGAGAAGAATTAGAAAAATCAATCTGCAGTTAGATCAATTAGAGAACTAGGTACTAGATTTTTTTTGTTTTGTTTTTGCAATTGACTTTTATCAAGAGCATATTCTTGATAAACCCTGCTTCAGTATATGCTACAGCAAAAAATAAAAGATAGTTACCTGAATACAATTCACAGAAATAGTTTAAAAGTGATTCAGAGCATAGTTTACTAAATGATGAGCATTTACTAATATACTTAGCATTCTAGGTGCTTTCAAGCATTCTCTTTAATCCTTATCAACTTTCCCCCAAAGAAATAGCTGTCTTTATTCCAAATAAGGAAAACAGGTCCATCGAGGTCCAGAAGCTAATTGCCTGTCCAAGATTATAAAACAAGAAAGTGCAGAACACAGTTATTCTAATTTCAAACCAAAAGGGCATGACTCCAAGGTGAAGAGTTTGTGTGCACTGATCTACCTTCTGCTAAAGTAATGAAGAACTTTGGTCAGTGTCCATGGGTCCAAGGCCCTGAGAACCTTCATCTTGTTTACACTTGCCTTTCTTTTCCAGGATAATTTGGACCACTTTTCTATCCAGGAATCAAGGGAGAAAATTTTCTCCATAAGGAACTTGCAATGCCCAGCTCCAGAGCTAAAGCGCTAAATCCTTTTTGATTGGTCAGTGTATCGCTGTGGTTACTTTTAAATATCCTTTAGTGACATCACAGTTTCATATTATATTTTCATTTCCTATCTCCAAGGATTGTTAAAACTATCAATGGTCAATGTTCAGATCAACCAATTTACCCTGGAAAAGACTGCAGAATAATTATTCTGTTTAAGATCTTGCGAGAGCAACCACTTCTGCCTTTATCAACAACTTAGGCCCTAAAATAAAAATATCAGGTCCTTTTATTCACCAACACCCTTCTATAGAGTACAAGGAATTTCTGTCAGAAAGTTTCTCACATCCGGTTGAGAAAACCTTTCAAATTTATGAAATCTGCCCTTTCTATGTAGTGTGGTTTCAGTATCCACTTCTGAATGTCAGAGAAGCAGTGCAAGAAGTCCATGCATTCAAATAGCAAACTCTGTGTTCACTACTCAGGATACTCTTATTCCCATTCCACCTACACCATATGCTTAGCTCCATTGCTTATGCCATACGATCTCTTTAAGCCAAGTGTAGCCCTTATAACATTTTTAAAAATGGAAAAGAAATATTGCCAGCTAAAATCGAAGGCAATCTTATAAATTGGTGTGCTGTTATTAAAATGAAAAAAGTCACTGCCCTTGGAGAAATAGCTCACTTGGGGAACTAATGACTGCTTCAGTAAGGTAAGGTCTTAGATTATGTGAGGACTCAGACTATGGCATCAGACATCAGGATTTGACTCCCAAGTCTACTACTTAGGAAATCAAGTGACTTTAAGAAAGATTTTCATCTATGCTGAATCTTAGTTTTTACATCTTTAGTATGACTAGTAATAACCCCTCCTCTTCTATTAAGTGAATGTACACATCAAACCATTTATTAGCACCTAACATGCAGCAACATTCAACAGAAGTCAGGCATCTCAAGTAAGACTGTTTCCAAATGAAACATAGGAAGAGGTTTCAACATAATATTAAAAATAGTCCTTGGTACTGTAAAGGATTTTTTTAATATTCGAGATTTAAGGTTTTATCCCTGTTGGTAATCTTAACAACCCCCGTATGCTTTAATTCTTCTTCAGGTCTTTGGATTCTTGAACTTTATCCTCTGGGCTGGAAACATCTGGTTTGTTTTCAAGGAGACAGGTTGGCACGCCTCAGGACAACGATATCTCTCAGACCCAATGGAAAAACACTCAAGCAGCTATAATCAAGGCGGGTACAACCAAGAGAGCTATGGGTCCAGTGGTGGGTATAGTCAACCTGCAAATTTGGTGCCATCCTCTGATGAGTTTGGGCAACAACCCAGTGGCTCTGCTTCCTTAACCAATCAGATTTAACAGGGTAGTATTTGCATTCTTCTGGAGATAGTCTCACCACTTTCCATTTCAGTGGCAAAGAATTTTTTAAGAGTTTCAATTATTAAAGCAGAGGGTATTGAATGTAAATCACAGATCTGTAGTCCTCATTAAAGCAGAAAGGTCCAGGTCATGATAAATGATACTTAGAGATGAAATGACATGAAGAGATATATTATTCATCACAGATGGCTAATTGGAGAGTCCCTCGTTATATATAGATACTTTTATGGTCGTTTTGTATGTGTATTGAGATAGTAGAAGCATTTTGTAGTTTAAAACCCCCAGTATGTAATATGAAAAATTAAATAGCATTGGATTTTCCTATGCATTTTGATGCAAAGATGTTTAAATAATTTCTATAAGACAATTCGGAGTAGCACAACTTGCATGTTTCATTATTTTTAGTTTCAGGTCCTAAAGGACTGTGAGTTGAAGTAATTCTTTCCACAATTATCCTGTGTTTTTTAATCTGATAAATTAATGCTCATGATTTAGTGCATGAATGAGAATTTTCTCACAAAATGAATATTTGAAATGTATTTCTGAACATTTTCCAGTTTGCAACATGACTTTGTTAAATGAATGTTTGAAAAAAAGTGTTCACTACTTTGTATACTTGCAAATTTGTCTCTCTGCCTCTCCCCACTCGTGAATGCATTGTAACTAAGGTTTGGGGTTTTTTCCCTGTTAGAATATACTTCGTGTTATACTTGTAATTGCCCAATATTTATTCTATTTACTTAGCTAAAATTTACATTCTTGTAACTTTCTATGGCGTTTTGTGACTCTTATCCTACAGTCTATGTGAAACAGGTTCAAAAACTGTATTTATAGAGTGTTGATTTCTTAGAATAATGGATATACAGGTATCAGACACCACAGTCAAAATGTTGTTATAATTATTAATTTATAATGGATACTTATAATAGAAAATTAAATTATTAATTTGTAAGGAAGCGGCCAACATGGCCGACCCGAGTTCGATTCCTCCGCCCCTCTCGGAGAGCCCGGCAAGCTACCGAGAGTATTCGATATGCCAGACACAGTAACAACAAAGTCTCCAATGGAGACGTTACTGGGCCCGCTCGAGCAAATCGACGATCAACGGGAGGGCCTTTACTTTTACCTTTTACTTATACATAACCTACACTACAAGCTAAAACACTATTTATTTATACAGTTAATATATTCCTTGATTCAACTATGAAAAATTCTCAAGTCGCTCAACTTACTAATTACTAATTCTTACTGGAGTGTTACCCATAAATTAAAAACGACTTTCATGAACCAGTCTGTATCCCAAAGCAGGTGCTTATAAAATATTCCCCAGAATATACTCATTATTAAGAAAATGCCAATCTTCACTGCTTTGTTTTAATTCAATTGAAACACCAGGGCCCAACAATGAGAGAAAGCTGAGTATCTGTATTTCCAGATAAAATTCACTGATATATACTCATTCATTGTGTAATCTATAACGTTGAAAGCATTTAGCAAAAGATACCCTGTGTCTTAGCTGATGTCTGTGACCAGTTTCTGGATCCTATTGGATAAATCTGTATTGTGATATTTATTTGATCTTAATAAAGTTATTGCATACAATATGCCTAGGAATTTGTAGAATTTCAACAGAAACTTGTTGCTTTAACAATGAATAACTTGATGCACTGTATTTTTAGTTTCTCTCCATGTCTTCATTTTCTGAACCAAAGAGTGTCCATTCATTCATAGGGCCATCTAGGAGTACCTATATAGCTATTTGTATGCAGAGCACTGGGAATATCATTGTGAGCAGATGCAAAAGCACTACCTCTTGAAACTTACATTCTGCAAGAGGATACAGATTTTAAAATAACCATGCCTCAACTATATCATGTGTGACATAATCACAGGATTCAATAAGAACTTTCATCATAAAGACTTGATCTAGATAGAGGTTGAGGAGTTTCTGACCTGAAGCTGCAGAAGGTTTTATAAGAACAGAGTGGGAAGAAAGAGTATTCCAGCAGGGAATAGCTTCTCAAAACTCTGAGATGGTGGTAGGTATTGTAGGCTTGTTACATTGTTGGATCGTAATATACCAGGGGTGGGAGGACCTTGAAAAGTGTCATGGCAACTGATGGATGTTTGGGGTAGGCTTACTGGGAGACCAGGGTCAGGAACTTTGTCTTTATTCTAAAGGACTAAGGAGAAGCATTGTTGAATTTTAGACTGAAGAAGGGTACAGTTAAATTAGATGTTTTGAAAAGATCTTGCAGTGTACAAGGTAGATTTGAAGAGGGCAAGATAAAGGAATTCAAGTGGCTAAAAAGTAGCCTGGACTACTAAGGCTCTTTAGCAATGGGCTGGAAGTGTACGAAGGGAAACTCGAAAAAGTCCCTGTACGCACCCTCTTGTTTCCTGGGATAGTGACTTCCTTTAACACTGTTCAGGAGGGAAGAGAGGCTCCAAATTCAACCATAAAATTCTCTAAAGCAGAAAAAAAGTCATAGCAGCTCTTTTGATCAGTTTTATCAGTGTCGAAGTGCATGGAGGCTTTGCTTCAGAAAAGTATCACCCTCCCTACACTGAGAGAAAGAGACTTGATTTTAAAGTCTCCCACAAAATCACAATAAATCGGTTCAGTAATCCCACAGGGATTTCACTGAACTGGCTTTCTTCCTTCTAATTTCAAGAAAAGAGCAGGAAATATGGACCTTTCAAAAATGGTGTTGGGGGGAGTGGAATGCAAGAGTGACTCCTGTAGCAGAAGAACATGGATCACTGTGTCCAGTAGATTTAATTTGGAGTTGCAGATTCACCATCCATTCACTATCTTTCAGGTGTGGCTTCACCTTCTTGAGCCTTCCCTTTGCTTAGAAGAAGGTATGAACAGACACAGAAGTAAAATGATGAGTTCTGAGTGAGATCTGACCACCTGGGTTCAGATCTCTGTGTGACTTCCCCAATGGCTTCCCCAAAGTCTTGAGGTATTTCTAAAGACATTACCTAAAAGTAAGCGGAGCCTGGAAACCTGGGAGTTGATACCTTGAGCACAGTCATTGGAGAAGGGTGCATAAGAGTAGGCAGGTCAAAAAGTAAGCTTAATAAGATGCTTAACTTCTCATTCATTTGACTGTTAGTGCTCTAAATTGGGGAAAGCAGTGATATCTGTCTCATCAAATTGCTATCAGGCTTGTAAGGCATTGGCATGGCTTCTGACACATAGATTGAGTTTCCCTCAAATTGCCAAAAGGTGAGTACAGCGGGGTGTGGGGGGCGGGGGAGAGGGAGTGTCAGTGGGCCTACGGGAAAGTGATGGAAGAAAGGAGGAAAAAAACACAGTAAAAGGGTGCATTTGTGGCATTACTAAAAAGAGATGAAGTTGTTCACTCTCATCAGAATCTCTTGAATAGATCTTAGACTGGCTCCAGTACTTTTCCATAAAGGAATAGAAACTATAGTATTTACTCATTCACCTCCAGTCACTGTTGGTTGGGAGTAGCTCATAGTGGTGGCAAATTCCCCACATTTGTGGGTAGCATATCCCTGTGAACTGGGAAAGCACTTGTAATTTTAGCAGAATCATCCTTGAGGTTTGACATCTATTTGGACGTGCGTGGGGGTAGGAACTGGCAAGTGTGTTAACATAGTCCAGATCTCTCACATCTAAGGACAGTGGCCTTGAAGGAGAATAAAGTAGGAGACATCGAGGTGCAGGCAGGACAGGGGTTACTGTCATTAAAAAGAGCAGTGATCCTTTACACTTGTCACTGAAATCAGAGGCTGGTCAAAAGGAACGCAACATAGTGCATCAAAATAACATTAAAGCTACCAATTTTTATTAATATTTATTCAGCAGTTTATTAATCTAATAATTTTGATTCATGTGATGGTGAAAGGAAATGAGGCAGAGAAGTGAAAAGAGCAGAATAGATAAAGTGACTTCTTTAGCAAAAGGTCCTCTGAGAAGGTGACATCCAAGCAAGTACATAAGAAAAGGGAAGGAATCAGTCATGAGCAGAGTTTTTCAGGCAGTGAAGCGAGTACATCATACAGGGCAGGAAATGGCCCAGCACCTGACATAGGAACAAAGCAAGTGGTGCTAGGACACATCTGGGAGACTGGGGAATGCAGAGGTTGAAAGACCCATATCGGAAATAGTCTTTCAGGATAAAGAAGCAGATTTTATTCTAAGTAACTGAGAAGTCAAGTTCCGATCTAGGTTTTTGGACTACAGGGTTAAAAGTAAACATTATCTCTGCTCACAGAATTTATAGCCCAGGATTGGTCTCCCAAAAGTGAATAAAGATAATGAAGCAAGATAAAGTCAAAATTTGCTAAGCAGGAAATAAAGCAGGATAACATGAAAGAGAGAAATGGCTTAAAAAGATATGGACATAATGTGAGATGCCAGGAGCCACAAATGAGAACATAAGTTAGAATAAAGTCTCCACTTGTGTTCAGAAACAGTTTACAGTTGTTCTTGGGCCTTAAATATCTGTGCAAGGATTTCTCCAATCCTGGTTGAATAATTAGTCCTCACTTAAGGACTTTCATCTTAGCATTGTAACCTAATGCTTCATTTGATCCTCATAACCCTGTAAAAGAGAGATGCCACTGGCTTCATGAAAGGGAGGCTCCTAACATAAGGGCCCCAAGAAGTAGACTCTGAGACTACTTCTCAAAGCCTCAATTTCAAGTGGCGGATAGAAAGGTGAGCCAAGGAAGGAAGGATAGACAATAAATCTAGTATAAATTATGGAGAAAACTACATCTGTGGGCAACTGGGGCTCAATCCCATGGAAAACTTGAGATGCAGATTGTCTTACAGTAAGTCCAACGAAGGGCAAAAGACTTGTGATACTTACCCATCAAACCAATCAGACATTGAATGGTTGTTTTAGAAGAGTGATCATTCTCCATTATTTCCAGGCTGCCAAGTATATGACCCCTAAAGCTGTAGCAAAGAAGATCCTGGCCGTGCAGCAGGTGCTAGAAGTTGGGATTCATTAGGTTTGCATGTGTTCCACAGTGACTTGCAAAGGATATGGCAGGCCAACGAGGTGTCTGATACGCCGAGGGATAGCTATACCACTGTAGCACTGTCCTCCAGTTGTTCATTGATTTGCTCGAGCGGGCACCAGTAACATCTCCATGGTGAGACTTGTTGTTACTGTTTTTGGCATATCGAATACATCACAGGTAGCTTGCGAGGCTTTGCTGTGCAGGCGGGATACTCTCTGTAGCTTGCCGAGCTCTCCAGGAGGGGCGGAGGAATCGAACCCAGGTCAGCTGAGTGCAAGGAAAATGCCGTACCCTCTGTTGAAAATTTTCAACTTAATGTTAGGATAAAGACCAGAATACTTGTCCTTTTAACTCTGAGAAATTATTTTTCATTAATTTTCTGACTACCCAGTATAAAAAATCAAACAATAATAATAATGATAATAATAATAATAATGAAGTACCACGTTCCTTGAACTAGCTGTCAAGCACAACAGTTTCAAATAACACCTACAAAGTAATAACCAAAATTCACTGAGCACCTATGATGAATCAACCACTGTGCATTTGGTATTTAACCACAAAAGCACCAAGACGAGACAGGTTCTATTATTACTCCTATATAAATTTAGAATCTTGTTCTTAGACCTGTGGTCAGCAGTCAGTGCCAGTCTGCAGAAATTTTCCACATGTCTGTCCAAACTATTAAGCTGCAGTAAATAAAAATTGTATCCTATAACTCCAGATTTAATAAATAAAATACTATGTACTGGTTTTTTTCCCCATGTTAGCCATCAGTTATTCTGCAAAATATTTCTCCTCTTCTCCCCCGTCCACAGGTATACGGAAGGTTGAAAAATTCTGGCTTAGAAGACTCAGTTCAGAGAAATTAGATAATGACCTTGTGATCACCTTTACTCACAAAAATAGTTCATAACTGCTATCGTATAAGCATTTATACT